TGGCCCGACACCTCGGTTCCCCACTCTAATATTGTTCGGGACCTTTCGGCACCTCTCGGTATCATTCGGTACCTTTCGGTGTTTTCCCACTTGTCGGTTCGGACTGTGACTAGGTCCTCCCCATCCCCCTTATAAATACCCGTAGATTAGAACCTGTAGTTCCTCAGTTCTAATCTCGACTAAAATGCCACCCAAAGTCCCTCTGAGTGATTCCCGTCCCCGTTCTACAAGACACCTCAGACATAAGAAATACAAGGACTAACTGAGACGTAACGGAGGCACAGCGCTCCCTCCGAGTCGCTGAGGCCGCATCCTTCTTAGAGCCTCTTGTACCATCCAGCAGAACTGGGCTCCCTGAGAAGCTTCAGTTCACTACCGGAGCCCTCGGACCCCCCTCTAGTTGAGCCCTGCCTGCATTCGGACTCACGCATTTATCCCCTCTCCCACAACCCGGGTTTTTAACACAACGGTTTTTTGGTGTGCTGCCAGAATGGACTAAAATGAAAATATCATGTGATAGGTCATGTGATATTGTTTACTATACACACTAATAAACAAATAAACATTGCTGGAGCATAAATGCACATGCATTTCAAGCTGTAATCCCCAATTCTAAAATGCATCAATTGGCTGCTTTGAAAATTGAACAAGTGCTTTTTCTCATTGATTCTGGCCACAGTGCTTATCAATTACTGCTGTCCACCATTCCACTGTTACCCATATTTGGTCTAAACATTGTCCTGACACTCCTAAGGTTGCCCATCTAAGCTCTCAGACACCAATATCTGTCATGCAATGCATCTTATCAACTCTGGTAAAGCCAACAATGCTGCACAAGTCACCTGAATTCTTCAAAAAGTCACCAGCACTAGCCTCTCAACTGAGGCTGTTTGTCTGTGACTAAAGGAGGCTGGTTGGAAAGCAGTGGTGAAGAAGAAGCAGCCCATGCTCCTCAGCAGATGTCATAAGGAGAGAATGGACATCACAATCAGCCACAAAGAGTGGACTCTGGAGGGTTGGAAGAGAGTGGTGTGATCTGATGAGACAAAGCTGAATCGCCTGGGCTCAGATGGGTGGATATGGGTGTGGAAATGGGTGGATGAACCTCTTACAGACAGGCTGGTGCAAGGAACAAAAAAGTTTTGTGGTGGTTTTGTCATGGTTTGGGGATGTATTACATTGGATGGAGTTGGAATGGCATGAAATATTGATGGGAGGATGGATCCCAAGCTCTACTGCCAAATCCTGGAAGAGGACTTCCAGAAAACCCTCTCATATTATGACAAAAACCCAGCCCACATCCTTTCCCAACAGGACAACAACCCAAAACACACCAGCAAAAGGCCCAGAACTGGTTCAATAACCATGGTATCAGGGTCATGGAGTGGCCCTCCCAGTCCCCAGACCTTAATCCAATCAAACAATTATGGAACCATGTAAAGAGGAAGCTTGGGGAGTATGAAGAACCTCCAAGTAGTGTTCATGAGCTGTGGGATCGGTTTCAGGAGGAGTGGGAGAGGATAGAACCAAGTGTCTGCCAGAATTTAATTGAGAGTATGCCTAGGAGGATTGAGGCAGTACTTAGGGAAAAAGGTGGCTATACTAAATACTAGTTAATGTGATTTTCCTTTCTCCAAAATGCACACCAAAAAACCGTTGCAATGACATGGGTCCTTTGTAAAGTAAATAACTTTACCAAAAATGAATACATTTATTAGAGAATTGGTGGAGTTATTAATAAGCTACTAGCGCATTATTTTCATATTTTTATGCAATTTTAGGATCCCTTCCCAGGGTGCAATAAGCTCATAAAGTGAAAGGTGCAAAACATTGCAATGGTTTTTTGGGGCACTGTACTTCACTGTAGTCTGCATCAACCTGTTCCTTGGATTAAGTGCATGTTATAGATAACCATTTTCGAGGTTGCCAGAGATACCTTCACTGAGTTCATTTCCTGGTTTCAGCAGCGAGCATGTGGGAGGATGCAGAAAAATCCCAAATTTAGATACCGGCATCTCCCGGAATAATGGATACTGCCTGTTACAGGAATGGGTTCCAGGGAACCCAACCTGAGCCGTTCTGCTCACAGACAGAGGTGGCTGCATAGCCGTTGAAGGGAGAGCAGGAGAAGGTCTGAGACTGGGTGTACTAACGGTAACTTGGCGCTCCAAGGAGCATACCGGCAGCGGGTGTGGTGTCATGCTAACGGTAACTTGGCACTCCAAGGAGTGTACCGGCAGCAGGTATAATGGGGACTCCTTGAGGGAGCCACCTAACAGTCGGCTAGCGGCAACTTGGTGCTCCAAGGAGCGTACCAGCAGCGGGTATAATGGGGACTCCTTGAGGGAGCCATCTAACAGTTGGCTAGCGGTGACTTGGCGCTCATGTGAGCATATCGGTAGCGTGGGTAGTTGGCACTCCTTGAGGGAGTAGCCCAGTGGTTGTCTATCGGTTACTTGGTGCTCAAGGGAGCATACCGGTAGCGGGATTTGTTGGGACAGGCAGGTTGGTTGACCAGTGCACGGTAGTGAGTGACCGTGGGAATTTGGGCCCGTGGGTATGTGGCCAGGCATCCTGGGGCTGCCTGGGTCACTTCTCCCTCCCAAGAAGGGAGGAAGGGTTGTAGGACCCAGTAGGGTACTACAGGAAGGATAGGAATGGGAGCTCAACCACCCAGTGGGGGGTGGGAGTGGGAAGAGTGAGGTCCGGTGTCTGAGCACTCACCGGGCCGTTGAGGTTTTCTCACAGATTGTAAGAATATCGATGTAGACATCAATATGGACCAAGTCAGATGTTACAGAGAAGGCTTACAGTGGTGGCACAATGGTGTGGCAGTTACAATCGTGGTACAAGGTTTTGTGGGTTATGTATTAGATAAGGAAAAGACTTTTTTCAGCATCTGCCTTACACATCATATGACTTCTAACTATCTAATATAAAAGTCATAATGGTCAAGGGAAGTCCCTTGAAACTCAACAAATCCCCCAGCCAGCACCAAAACCCGGTGGGAAAGCTTGGCATGGGGTTTGATGGAGAAGTAAAATGGGGAAGGTCCTGGGTCCATCTGCTTGCAACCATGGACCATAAGATTCTAGCCTATATCTATAACACTGCCAATTGAATTAAAGAGGGGGGGGGGTTCTTGCACATTGCCCTAATCCTAAAAAGGGACATGATGTTTAGGATTTCCATAACTGACCCCCCTTGGTGTGCCCTGACATCCACCTGCCAGCCGGACAGCTTGCTAGATGGCCAGATGGCCTTTTTCTCTTTTGTTTGCTTGTGGGCTATTGTTTCCCCTTTTGTCACTCTTTGTTCCTTTTGTTGGCAAGGTTTGCCAACATTAACCATTTGTCCATTTCTTCATTCATTAATATCACACTTGATCCACCACTCCTTCTGGGCCAGTCCATTTAGTTACTTGTGCTTATAATGCATGTAGGTTACACCGGATGTACCTCAGTTTGTATATTGACTTGGATTTCCCCCCTAGTCTCTTCTCTACATCGTAAGGCTTCTGTCTGAAATTGGGACAACAACATAAGAACAAAGCACAGCACTCCACCCGAGTTGCTGAAGCTGAAGTCCCACCCCTCTGACCTTACGAGCCCGGATGACTTCGCACGCCCTTGCAGATCATCTGGATACGCATCTGACATGTTCCTGACAACAACCATGCAAATGCAGAAATTCTTTTCATTTCCATCCCATTGTCCAATGAGTCACAGCATGAATCACTGCAAATGCAAGATGTACAGTATGTGTATGTACAGTCATTCACATGCCAATGGTTCACACCCCTCAATGGTTCATTTGCATGTAACATCCTTATTTCACCCCAGGATTTTTTATTTTTTTGCACACTTGTATACTATAACTATGGCTATGACTACGCATGCATCTTGCACTCTCCAGAAACATGGCTATGACATCACAGTGTGTCCTACAGCTTGGTGTGTTACCAAGGAACAGAAGGCCACTGGCACATGTGCCCATGTTTGTTTGTTGTGGTGAATGAGCACTTGTCAGACTTGGGTATACTTACTAGAGTGCTTGCACTTCGCGCTTCGCTTGACTCTGCACAGCCCTTGTTTCCTTTCGCCTGTCCCAGCATGAATCTATTTCTATTTTTTTTTTCAGTTCGTTTCGCGAATATACTTAGGCTATAAAAATATGTGTTTAATTGGAATGCAGACATCCAACAAACACACCAATTTTTCCAGTTATTCGGAGTCTGGAATTATTTAAAGGCAAAGCGAAAAAGAAGGTAGTATGGTGACAAATCACAGTGGAACCAGCATACGCCTTCATGGACTACTGTGCGCAAGGACAGATGATGGAATGCCTGTGGTCAGACATAGGAACATCACCAAGCACGTTGACACCTTTTAATGCATGCGTGACATTGTCGCGTGCAAGAGGAAGAAAAAGCATATGATTAAACCGAGACTTTAAGGACAAGAGCCGAGTGGGAGCGGAAATGGTGGAAGGAAAGTAAAGGGACAGAAGGGACAGGTGAGATGACGTAAAAGAAAGCATGTAAAGAAAAGGAAACAACCCAAAAGGGAAGATGATGACAAATTTTCAGCGTCGCCAATTGCGTAATATCGGGAGTGGTTAGTGACTCTGTGTGCAGAGTAACATCCGAGTTTCCCAATTCAGCACCTCAAATTTATTCCTTTCTGTGCCTGCTGCTTTCACCAGTATCAGTAATGGCTCCCTTAGAATGCACAAGCAAAAAGCAGCTCAAGCAGTAGAGCAAATATTCTGCAAACCCTTGCTTCATGCCATATTACTGAATTATCGGTTTGGTGTGTGAACTAATTGTCACACCATGTCACACTGAACCATTGAGCCGGGAAAGCACCATTTCCTTGTCTGCTTTTATTCTCGTTCATTTTTCATCCATTTCTTTATATCTCTCGGTAATATGTACATACCCAGCCTGGCTACTATCCATCATAAAAATTTTGTATTTGGTTTTGATCCAATGTCATAGTCTCAAAATTACAAAATGTGAACCATTGGCCCGTGAATGACTGTAACCATCACATTCCATACATACAAAAAGTTTCAAAGGTTTTTTTTTTGGTCAGCTACATAGCTGGATCCGGAGCTAGCTACTGTATATCCCAAAAACAGGTCGAGCACAATCAGCAGGAAGTTTGGAACAAAATATAACCAGGTACGGGGCACATGTGTGTGTGTGTGTATGTGTGACTGAATGCCAGATTCATTTTGTTTCTGCTGTTCGCCTCGTCGGCCATACTATTGTATTCTGTTATTCAACGATTGCGATGCATGTATAGGTGGGGAGAGAGAGAGAGAGCGAGAGAAATGCCACAAGCCGTTACGCACGTAAGTAAGGCAAGAGAGAACACAAAGGAGAATAAAAGAACAAAAAAATCATCATCACAAAGTCAGGAATTATAGCGTTCAAGTATAGGCATTCTCTACTGCTTAAGAACCGCCTCCCTACTCTCATTCTTCGTCCTCTCACTCTCCGCATCCCCACTGGCAGGTACGACCACCTCCTCATCCGGCGGTCCACTCGCTCCCTTCTTATAAAACAAGAAGAACAACACGGCGGTCACGGCCACCCAAGCGAACACGAACCAATACCCATCCGCGATTCCGGTATACCCAGGATGTTCACCTCTCTGTATCTTTTTCTTTTCGATGGAGGTCCGGATGGAAGTGAGGATGGCTAGACCGAGCGCTAGACCGAGTTGGAGGGAGACGTTGAATATCGCTCCTACGACACCTGCTATTCGAGGTGGGGTACTGAAGAAGCGAGTTAGTCGTGCCCAGATAAAAGATTTGAAAGAAACAAAGGAGCTCACTTCATAAAGACACCAATGTTAGCCTGGGTAAAGACGGTCATGGTTCCAATCGTTCCAATGATGAACGCAGGGAACATCAAAGACCAATACCTCTCTCTCGTATCCGCAAACGGTAACAAGATGGTCGCAACCAACTCCATTCCCATCCCGATCAAGATCGAATACCGAATGTCGATATACTTGGGGAACATCCCTCCCAAAACACCGATAGGCGCTGAGAACGTTCCGGTAGGTAAGAATCGTATAGCGGTAAGGATGGTATCCCAATGATATTCGGTTTGGAAGTAATCCATGAGGGAATAGAAGAGGGACGTCCACCAGAAGAAAGGCAAGTAAGCGCAGAGCATGAGAACGGGTATGTTTGGGTATTTCCAGATTTTGGGTGGGAGGGAAGCGATCTCTTCTGGTAACCAAGCTTCGAGAGTGAAGAACCCAGCCATGGCCAAGATAGAAACGACCAAGGTCGAAATGACGTTCGCCGAACCCCATCCGTTGACCGAACCCGAAGTGACGGCGTAAATGAACAACATGACGGAAGCGGTGAAGAGGATGACGCCCGGTAAGTCGAGTTTCCTGAAAGAAGGTTTCTCACGGGGACCGGAAGGGGGGATGGATAGGATGGATATGACGGCGATGGGGACGCCTAGGATGGTGATGAAGTAGAAGATCCATTTCCAAGATACCCATTGAGTGAAGATCCCTCCTAGGACTATTCCCAATACGTTTCCCAAAGCGGAGGAACCTCCGAACATGGAGATACCAAAGTTTTGTTCATGGGGATCTGGGAACCATTCGATGATGAGGGATAAGCCGGATGGGACAGTGGCTGCTGCAGCAACACCTATTTATAGTAGAGAGGTGGAGTAAGTTACATGGGAGGGAAGTTGGAACGTGAGATTTTTGATCGTTGAGAGAGGGAATAACGAGAAAACGCACCCATGAGACCACGAAGAACGAACATCCCGACTTTATCCTTAACGAACCCACATCCGAGGGAAAACAAACCGACGAGCGCGGATCCAACGATGAAGGTCCACTCTAAGGAAATGATCGCGAAAACGCGCGTCAGTACAACGCGTGAAAAATACCTCGGTGGTAACTCAACTGGAAGAGTAAATATCAGACACTCGACCGGAAATCAACAAGAAAGCAGCGAAAGCGGCGGAATAAGCAGAGAACATCCAGGTGAGTTCGTTATCTTGCATATTAAGCGCTTTTTTAAACGCGGGTTGAGCAGGGAAGAGAGCAGAGTTTGAGAACGCATCCACAAACTCTGCGAGACAAAAGAGAGTGAGGAGAAGGTTCTTGTGCCATCGTCCTAGTTGTGGTTGGACGTAGGCAGGTTTTTCCACTATGACGATGGAGGAACGAGAGCTCATGGTGATGATGGTGGTGGTGGTGGGTTGTCCGTCTCACTGAGGGGATAGTTGAGCGCCGATGGGTCGAGAACGGTTATGGGAAGAGAGGGGGGGTAGGAGCTAAAGGAGATGGCGTATGCAGAAGAGGAAGACCTTTTAACTGTAAGGCCTATTTTTGCTTTTTTGCAAAGCCATGGCTGGATGTTCCTTTTTTTTTTTTTCAGTGATATGCACATGCGTTTTCCGTTCCCCATCACGATGATATCGTTCAACTCAAAGAAAAAGAAGAAAAGATTACTAAGGATATAATATAAAAAATTACTCATCCTATAAGGGTCTTCCAAAGTTAGGCGGTGAAACGAGGTAAAAAAGAAAAAGGTGTGAATTGTTGTGTTGCGTAGGCGTGCAAACGGAGCTGGATCCGTTTGTCGATTCCAAGCTCCGGCCGGGTTGTTATCCAGTCACGGGACATTCTCGGTTTACTCTATACGGTAAAGGATAACAAAATAGCGCCGATCAAAGAGCTTTTTCTGTTGCCAAGCTATGTTGTTGACTATCGCATTCCCGTTAAAGTCGCATCATCACGCCAGTCGCGACTTCACTAAGTAAAACCAAGAGGATCTTAGCTTAGGGTCGAGGGAACCAAAAAGAACAGTCAGTTAAGCCAGTTTGCAGGGGTTGGGGGGTGAATGACGAAAAAAGAAACGCTTGGCTTTTTTTCTCACGGTTATTACACATCACAGTCCGACGTTCTCGGAGTGCTGATTGAAAGGCCTTTGTCTCATTGGCTAGGTTTTTCTCAGCACAGACCAGTCCGAACGTCAAGGAATCTTCTATCCTCCCGTTTCCGGTCCGAGGTAAATCCAGATAACTAACATGAACATCGTGGAGGGGCGGGTATGAATCATGAATCATGAAATCATCATGGATTTTGGAAATTACATACTTAAACGTCAAACGAAGGGCGCGAATGTATGTTTCCATGATGATTGTCATGAAATATATAATGCGTCGTTCGATGGGTGATGAACACCGGCCGGTGATGATATACCGACTGCGGAGCGGCTAGAGGTGTAGTGACGTCCTATAGATACACATACATAACCTACATCTCGGAATATTGTGATCATCCCCGTACGACATCGCCAAGCTAGAGGGGAACTACCACCACTAGTCCTGTACGCTACGGATCACGACGACGGCTGGGTTGCAGCGCCCGCTGCAATGCACAGCTTCTAGTACTGGATCCATCCGAGCCCTCGGATGCCATCCTTGCTTACAGCTCAACTGCACTTATGCCACAGACTACACCGTTGCATGATGATGCTTTGACAGATCGTTTGGGCGAATTGCTCTACAAACAACTCGTTAATGTTTTGCACGCTATCAATCGATTCTACGTCACCCTCGACTTGTACGACGAACGTTACCATCCGGAACTACTTAATACATATATAACCTTCGATCAGTCCGCACTTTGCACCACGGAGCTCTCCCCTTCCTCTTTGATCGAGACTCCTCCAACTGCCACTGTCAACCCTACGTATAAGTAAAGCTGCATGCGCCTAGGTGAACACCCACAACCAGTAGTCATGAATTCTATCGTCGGTTAGAATATTGTACTCGGTCCAAAAAAACGCGGTCTCTTTTGCTGGATCCGATCCGGAAAAAACCAATGGATCATTCCATGCACAACCACACCGATGGCACCAACACGGCTACTGGCATACATTCCAATCAGTGGGTCGCCCGCCGCCGCGCCTCTCGCTCTCGCTCTCGATCACCGTGCCATGTATGTAGTTGTTTTATATATACTTTTATTTTTTATCTAACAGGATTTGTGTGGCTGGCACTTTCGTCGTAAATAACTATCAATAAAGCCACCCCTCCCCTCAATAATTAACAAGCACAAGCGCCGTTTTGATATTAATGGCCACGCAGCTCTACATATATGACTTTCAGAGCCTCAATCACTCCAATATTAATTATTCATCAACACTGCGCGCTCTTCGAAGGCTTAGATTAGCTTCCAGCTCTGCATGAATGATCCTCATCCAATTGCCAATCGCTTCGGACACTGGTACTGAGAAAAAAAAATTATATAAGGACGGAACTCGGTCATGATGGTCGGGAAACGCCACGGGCTCCGAGTCGGGCCTTTTCTTCTGGCCTGGAACTTGCACACTGATGATGGCATGAAGGACTACGCCGAAGCAATTCGCAAACAGCGTCTTTTATGGTAAGTCACAAGTACGTCATATATGTAGTTCCGCGGCGCTTGCACAATAGTGCATTGGGCATGCACAGAATGCCCAGGCCGCCGGAAGCTTGGGCGACTCCTCGGCGCCGCCGCGCAAATAACACGTAGGGGGCTAATAGCCGCCCATTTCGTGCGTATTCGGGATCACGATGCAAAGAGGACAAGTGGACTCAAAAAGGAGCTCCACGAATCTAGCTGGGGTACAGTGACTCTATCCAACATGTATATATATACGATCGAGTTCGCGGAGCCTGACGAACGCGTAGCATCCCACCCCGATTTTGGGCTCTATCGTGGATAATCAAGCGTTTAGTCGCTTGGGGGGGGGGGCACGACATTCACACTTCACACCAAATGCGGCGTGGCACGGTTGCGTCCCCTTTCCGGGGAACTCGATCTAGTGGCTTGGTGTGATCATAATCAACTTGTGTGCATTGCAGCTGGAACGAGCACGACGATGTAATAGCGTTGAGTGACAACAGCCTTCTCAATTAATTAGTGAGCTATCTCAACTGTTTCCATTGAGGGTTTTTAACGTTCATAACAACTGGCCGAAGATGAGGCCGAAGCAAGTGATGTGTGTGTAGAGTCGCTGTATCAAGCAGCGAGTTCGACCTCAGCGTGGACCTGGGTAGTACTTGCTCACGACTGCTGGTTGGAGTTGGGAGGGAGGCAGATATACATACTCACTTTTTGATGAACACTTAATGGTCGAGTTTTTTTTGTCAATCCAGTTAGATCATGACCGCCGTGCAACTTCATGTCCAACACGCCAATATCGCGGACTGAACATGATACCAAAAAACGCTCTCTCCCTGCTGAACATATATATATGCACGGTAAGTAGTTGATCCAATGGGTCCCCCCTCCGTCATCGTTCCGGTTCTTGCCTCCTCATCAGCTCAAACTCGAAGAGGACAAGACGTGGAGAACAGAAGGCACCCAGAAGGATGGCGCAACGCCGCACTGGTCGTCTGCTAAGCCATATAGTAGCTGAGAATGCCTGCAACTTGCAAGTCCCTTCGAGTTAGCTCCGGTGATGTAAGGCCTTAACTGGGCGATGACGATGGAGAGTTGGGATCCTCCACGACTGCTAGGTAGGTCCCGGCGTGACGAACACTTAGCGCTACGCTCGGTCGATCAAGTTGGCCTGTGCAAACTCCGATCAGGCGTTGAAGGCTCAACAGATTCGGAAAAACCCGTAGAGTGAAAAACACCAATTATCCTCTGCAAGTGGCGTCGTCAACCGTCCAGGCAACGCCAACGCTAGACAGCCGAGTCATTCAGACGACCATATCGCTGCCCAATGCACCGTTGTATTCCTGCGGTGCTAAGAGCAGGTGTATATCGCAGGAGTACTGTAGTATGGTTGTACGTTGGACTTGGGCGGTATCTAGAAGCTCGCACGGCTTTTTAACTAGTATAACCTTCTATTCTTGGGCTCGTTTCTATCTACCTCGTATTTCGTACATCATTTTGGAGCGTCGGAGTATGGAGTTGCTTATCGCAAGCACTGAAATGGTAAGCCTTGCTGATGCATGTTGCAGGGCCAGCCCTGCCATGATTGCGTGCACAAGACTTTTCGCTCATCTTCTTCCCACGCCCCGTTGTCCCTTTGTTGAGGCCTCATCTTATTCCCCTTTCCCCGCCCTGGTCCCAAGTGCGATGGTTCCAATAACCATTAGTCGGGTGACGAAACTGCATTGCGAGGCAGATCTACCAGCTGTGCCGCGAACACTTGTCTCTAAATGATGGCTTCAACGCTTCTGTTTCGCAGTCTTATGGTGTTTCGCCCTCTGCAGTCAACGCTCGCGGAATGGCGCGTAGTGGTCCCGGCACTTTTTGAAGCCCGACACTAAGTAACCGCTGAACTATTTAATCGCACATTCGTACATCAATTCATGTTGTTGATTCTGCATCGGAGGCGGTGGAACCCCCCCCTCAGCTATTCGGAAATTAGGGAGGAGAATAGCTCCACTTCGATGAACCACACCTCAGACATCTCGCTTCCTTTTCTACGCCGTGGATGAGTTCTCGTGTGGATTATTTATGCACTCTCAATAGTATCCCTTGCCGAAATCAGCCTCGCAGTTGATCATCAGACTCAGCCACCAGCTTCTTGAGCTGGTAAATGGGTATTCAAATCTACAGATAGTGAGGAGGAATTCTCCATAATAAGGTCAAACACCCTTCCCTAAAACACAAGGATTAATCCCATGCATCATCCAACAATACAACATAAACTAGTTTCAGACTTCAGACGAAGTGCTGCAATTTGGCCCATCCCCAAACTCGCTGAAAAAAAATAGCCTCCCAACCTTTCCCGTACTTATGGGTAGCTCTTCTCTCTTTATTGAGGATTCTCCCCGAGGTCCTTCCTCGTGGTCATGGAAGATATATGACACTTCGTTGATGGAATCGCCTTGTTGAACAGCACGTGGGACAATTAACGAAGATGGTAGTTTCCAACTCTGACTATGGCCTCTCAGTTCGTTCGGGGGGAAGGGCCGAGTTCTCCGACTATTGAATGCTTCTGATGTTGTGTTTCGTAGCGAATTACTTCGAATAGCGGAATAAATGCAGGTACAGCTGCACAATCCCCTTCTCCCTCTTCTATTTGCCACGCCGGACTTTGGCTTCTCTGCTCCGCGACCCACGGAGCAGACTCTAATGGATCCAGTTACTTTTAAAAAGCGCCATTGCATGACATAATGCTCTGCTCCCCTCTGAACAGAACCTCTGCCGTCCGCTGTCATGGACTCGATCTCGACGGCAGATCAATGTGATGGAACGCAACGAGTTTGTAGCCATCAGCTGAAAAATATCGGCGGCTTGACTTCAACATCTGCGGAATGTCTTACTACCTCTCCCACTGTTTACGAAAGTAACTCTTCGCAATCATACACCAGAATAGTTAGACACAGAGTCGCCAGCACTAGCTATATTAGTTCTTCTTGAACTTCGTGTTTGTCCAACAGATAAGCAATGAAGTTTCCGGCGGTTAGAAGCCCCCGTGCAACTTTTTTGCAAAGTCCCCCAAAGGCAACGGGTTGCCATTGATATTGGAAGCAATAGGGATGAAGGAATTAGCCAAACTGGTCCTTAGTATCGTCCTGGGTCCGAACTAGAGTATTCTTTCGAATCGTCCGCAGTGTGCCTACAGCCAATTCACCGGTGGAGTTGATGCCCTGTTTCAATAGCCAGGAATCTAGTAGGCTGGTTGGTGGCGACTGCCAGCTAGGGATTAATGAACACGGCTGAGCAACGCCCCGTGAAGTCAGGGTAACCAACCCTCTCCGGTTAAACTGCATGAGGATGTATATAACACCAAGCGACTCTTCGTAGCTGTCCTGAACCGAGAACTTCCACCCCTTACTCCCAGGCGATCTCGATCTCGCCAGCTACCGATATGGGTATGTCCCTTCGCGAAAATCTCTTTGGAGGCCTCCTTTCCGGGCTTGTGCTCAACGCTGTGTACGTGCCACCAGTGGAATTCATGATATCTTTGCTCTTCTATCACCTTGCATTCATTTCGGGTGATTTCCTCCCTTAGTCTCCTCGGTGTAATCACCATTCAGGCCTTCCTCTATTACCAAAAGTATCCCAGAGACCATGTCATTTTAAAATTTGCGGTGGGGTTTTTATGGTGAGTTGGTCAAGTGATTTACACAACGGATGCTGCACGGTCGGGTGACTGTGCATTCCATTTACAGGCTCGTACAGACGTTTCAGGTGTGAGTCAAAGGCCTCATCGGGGTATGCCTTTCGATGATCTGTCCCATCTCTAGGGTAGCCACGGTGTTTGCGGTGTATCAGGAATCCATCACTCACTTCGGCATTCTGTCGCAATATTCAGTATGGTAAGCCAGCGCCACTCCCAAAACTCAATACAGTACTTATGACTTTCATTCTACGATAGGACTGGTACAATTTACCAGATCCTCACAGTAAGGGTCATGAGTCTACTCCAGTCTGGCGTGTACTCACGTATCCACCATAATCCACTCCAGGTCGTTTGTTCAACTGTTGTCCAATCCTACTTCGTCTTTCGGCTCTATCGATGTAAGTTGTCTCAATGATCCCTTATTTTCGTCCAGTATCTTGAGGCCGCGTGCTAGTTAGTGGAACGATCTGGTTACCGATGCTGCTTGTACGTTGTCGGCCGTTCGTCGTACATATGTTCATTAATGCTAGTGATCATTATTGACAGGTTCTGTTGACTCTGGGGCAAATTGGTGAGTGAAACGAACGATCGTGTATTTGGAATATCTGATGTGTACATATCCCAGGGACCGGACTTGGTATGATGGTGCATAAATTGTGGAATTAACTTCCTTCTGAATGCTCCTGCACCATTTGTAGCGATCTGTCTTAGAGTGCAAGTCGTTCCTTAAATTAGTGACTTCTACCATGGGCCATATGTTCTAATCATCCTGCCTGACAGAAATATCGCTCGCGGCGGCGAAAGCATCGTCCATTCCATGCGCCCTCTTATGGTCTCTTGGTTAACACTAGAGGCACGTCTCTCTGTGCATCGGCTAAAAGGAACCCTCACTTACGTTCGTGCACAGGCAGCGGCCGACCTCGTGATTGCCCTCTCCGTGTCATACTTCCTCCAGACGCGCCGCACGGGAGTTCTGCAGTAAGTAATTGATTTGTCGCTTGTTTGAGGAAGCAATTCCTGAACGGGTGATCCCCCCACTGAAGGACGGATACGGTATTACGAAAGTTAACAATATACGCTATCAACACCGGCTTGCTGACCAGGTACGGTTTTTGGGACTCTTCGGCGAAATAGGATGAGCCAACCCCCTATATTTGTGACTCAGCATTCTAGCGTTGGTCGTCATGTTTGTTGTATGGCCAATCCATCTTTTTTGCTGTACAAACAGCCTGACAGCCTTTCTTTGAGCAGTTCGCACTCTACGGCCTCCACTTCGTCCACATGATATTCATACTGGTGGGTAATATTTCTATTCGGAACGGACATCTGACCTCACAATGGACTATTCGTCCTAGCCGCTCGGAGGAGTTTATACTGCATCCCTTCTGGCAAAGTATGTATCGCAACACCATCACCTAAGTGAAATCCCTGGCTGGTAAACTGATGGACACTTTTCTCTTCCACTTTATCTCAGTCTACATTCGCGCTCGAGACTCTGGAAAGAACTTCATCATCAAGGAGAAAATGACTTTCCAATACACTTGTCCCACCTTTCTCCCAAGGCGAGAGAAATGTGTCGCAAGGGAGATCACAGTTGACCCTGATTACAATCAGGGAACTTCTCCCGAATCTAGTAGAAGGTACCCACATCAGTCGCGTCTAAAGAAATTACCAAGACAATCAATCCAGCGTGAAATATACGCGCACCTTTGGGGGAAGACGAGACAGGTGTATCGAAGTACCATGCTCTTCAACAGTGCGAAGTCGCCTCTGCAACGTTGAACGTGAGTGTAGACTGAAGACACGCAAGAGGGGAATTGTTCATGAGTCACATAAGGTTCGGGTGCAATTAGTTCGTTCAGGCTCCTTACTTGGACAATAACGAAGCAGTATAAACTCCTCCAAGTGGCTGTCGCACGAATTGGTACCAGTTGTATCAACTCAGTTTATGGCGCGGAACATGACGCACCAGTAGGAAAATGAGATTCACAAAATGCAATCCGTAAAACGTGTACTGGTAGACAAAGAAGGTTAGATATAGTGGGGCGTCAAAGAGGAACCCACAGTGAACATGACCGCCATCGCCATCACGCTAAAATAAGGAACACATTGCTCAGCTCTTCATCTGTTAATTGATCAAAGGGATTTTACGTAGTTAGCATCCCAGTGTTGATGGCATAGATCATCAAAACCCGAATCATGGAATCAGTCCTTTCTCGCCAAGAATCAAATTTGATTCAGTGATCTCGCATCCATTTCGCAAGTGGCAAGGTTTGATCATACTCACGATCGAAACCCCGTACAGCTCTTCCGAAGGAAATAACACATTGAAAATGCAATGATAACGTCGGAGCCGGCCTAAAAATTGTTAGCCTTAGTCCGTACATGGCACACATGAAGGGCTGGTTGGGGCAAGTTCACGCCAAATTTGACATGAGCACCTACCTCTATCGTGAGCCAGGCAATCAGAAATGGCTTTAGGATAGGGATTAGATTATAAATCCCATGGTTGATGTTCCTGCCCAATAACGCGAAATAGGAGCTCAATAGGGAACAACTTACGCAGAGGAAGCTGGCGTACATATGGATGCAAATCACTAGAATGGCGGTGCGCACAAAATAAGAGGGGGAATATCACTTGTTGCTCAATTAAATTGAGTGACAAGCGTTCATACCCAGCCCCATCGCTACTCCGAGAAATACCCAAGTCAATGTTGGTGCTTGAGGACGAAAGAGCTTCACTTACCCAATTGCGCCAAGGTCATAATAGTCTAGAGGTTCAGTGATCAGCACCGGCATCAGTGAGATCAGCCCACGGTAATATGTACCAACAGCAGCGGCACCCATTCCGATTGACCCACTGGAGTAAGTTCCGGCTAATATCGGTGCAGACTCATGGGAATGGAATTGAAGCACCACTTACATTTACGCAGCCGATGAATGAAGTAGAACTGGACAGTGACAGAGGATATAGTCTGTGGCTGAGATGAGATGCCGGGTCCTGGTGAATGGGCGACACGAGTGTAGCCGCCTGAAAGAAATTGCTACTCTACCGTAACCAGTGGATACATGGTATGATACCTGTGGTGATGATCATTTGAACTCAGGCTGCTCCGCAACTCAGGGACTCACCATTTGGTATCTTCAAGCAGATAACCAAACTTCATGATTCCGGCGTCGTACACTACGTAGGCCACAGTCACTCTACAGCCAAAAAGTGAATGAAGAATATATCGGCTGTTCCTGACCTGGCTCACACTTGGAATGCCTGTACGAGCCTAGGATCCAACATTCGCAAGCGTGTACATAAGCAACGCGGTGGACCCCAATACTGACATATGCCTACCATAAGAACCCCACAGAGGATCGAGCAACAGGACTGTCTTTAGGATATGTGCAATAGTAGAGCCAGGCCTGAACAGTGACGACACCGAACACGCTGTTGAAGGTCACGAAAGTGAAATAAGCCATCCGCGAAGGTCCAGCAATTGGGGGTTATATGTGGAACAACACTTGGAATAGACCCAACGACACGGCAGGGATCCCACTCACATCGCGCTAAGCACTAGTCCGACCAGAAAACCTCCATACAGATTCTCGAATTTTGACATGCCCATTCTAAGGGCAACAGATCGAGGCCGGGTGTAGGAGGGGGAGAATGAGAAGTCCAAATTTTGAAATCACCTTATATGCTATTCATTTTTGAGTGGGCAAGTCGAAGCTATGAATTGAGCGCGACCGGGCTCTGTACAGCCGGGTGGAGACAAAATCCCACGCATATGATTTCATTGATGTGTCGGGGGGCGTCTCAGCTGATGGGAGGAAGGATGGTAAAATGAATCCGCTGGAACGGAGGAGGTTGACCAGATATCATAATCGCGCACCCACCCAGGAGCATTTCGTGTCAGCAAGACTTGTTGAATAGGTGTGGTCCCCATAATTCTGCTTGACCGGTATTCTGCTTGACCGGTTTGATCCTAGTAAGCACCATGAGACAAGAAGAGGATGCTTTGCATTCTGCAACCTGCTTCTCATACCCGGTTCATAGATGATCAATTATCTCGGATTATGGGTATGCATCATTGAAAGGGTTTGGCACGAATGATCCCTAAGGTATGAAGTATCGCCGACGACACAGAAAGGGGACGTTCTGAATTAGACCTGTGACATGCAGTTCATCAAAGAGCAGCTATTCATCTTCCTATCAAAATTGATGCCCGGGCGGCCGAGGGGATTTTGCCAACCCCAATGCATGTGCTGCTCGCAATTTTACAGATTTAGAAACCTGAATCCATAAAGGAGCGCATGATTTACGGTTCAGTCGTTCGGGTCAAACTTCGATAGGTGCGGGCCACCATCAACTATTCCGCGAGCCAGTGAACCACAGAAGCGTTAAGGCATAATATTTTACAGTAGACCGAGAGTTGCGAAACAGAAAAGGCATCATTTAAGCAGTGGAGTGTGTGCGGTATAGGCGGTCTGCCCCGCAATCCAGTTGCGCTACTTGGATTAACGGTCTATCGCACTCAGGCCACGGAAGCAGGAAAGCATAGAAATAAGGCAAATCAGAGAAGGTGAGCAAAGGCGATAGGGTTTCTTGCACGTGCGACCACGCGGGCTGGCCTGCAATGTGTCGGGGATAGTGTCGTCCCAGACCGCAACAAACTCTGTTGACAGTCACGGCACTAGGAGGAATCTTCCCCATGGACAACGCTGTATAGGATGGGAAGGGCCCAAACACGTCCCTTGGATTTTGCGCGGCTCTACAGAAACAGAAGCCTGCTCCATGCAAGGCTCGTCGGGCAATTGACGCAATGACGCGAGTTTTTGAATGTTTAAGGTTCAGCTTATTTGCACACAGCAACAAACCGAACCGAAAACCCCCGACATGCCAAAAATGAGAACAGCATGGTGAATGGTGAGGCAAGGACGCATCGGTCAATTTGGATCGATACCCAACATACAACCGCAAATGCGGTCCCGACCTCTGATGCCATGGGGCTCGTCAGGTTGTCCAGCACTTCTGTATGGGCTGGAAATCAAAGCGATATTATCCAAGATGAGGGGAGAAACCCGAGTTAGCATCCGCAGAATCAAAGAGAACAACCGATCCATCAGATGGCGTCCAGCTGGCACCGCTTACAGACTTGTACCCTCCTCCCCGAGCACGGCGACGGTTTGAGCTTCACACCTAGTGTCGCACACTAGAGGTTAGTTTCTGCTCGTTAGGATATTAATATCCATGGATCCACTGAGTACGGGTCCAGACACCGAAACTGTCTTAGAAAGAATAGCTGTGGAGATGCCAGTCCCTCTGCATGATTGGTTATGTAGCTTCGAGCAAAAGAAGTAGATTATCCCGAGCCAAAAAGAAACCCAAAAATGAGCCTGCAAACTGGTAAAAACGTGACATACCAGCCAGGAAACCATAAATAGTGGGGGTCGGCAAACCATGTCGTAGTCTTGTGACGCTTACGTAAGCAAAATCGTCTCGATCCTGTCCGCACCAACCTTCCTCTCAAATCACATCATCAAACTGTACTAGAACTGGGTGAGCAATGATATCTATGCATATCGAAAGCTTTCTACAGGATAATATGAACAATTAGGCGAACATTTTAATGATCAGATTGTAATTGAGCTAAGCACCTTCATACGGCATCGATCCCCATCATTGGGGGAGCTGGGCTGGTCATGCTATGGTGCTCTCGAACTATTTGGATGAGTATCTCCTTCTGCCCCTCGATATTCATACTGACAAAAGCTCCAACTTTCGGCAAGGGGGGTCAGTTATGGAAATCCTAAACATCATGTCCCTTTTTAGGATTAGGGCAATGTGTGAGACCCCCCCTTTTCAATTCAATCGGCAGTATCCATCATTTTGGGAGATGCCGGCCCCCAAATTTAGGAATTTGGTATGGAGCAAGAATTAATCCCAATTGATCCAAAATACTCCAAAACTCTTAAATTCTCGTATGGGCTCAGCAAGCACTCCATCTCAAATGAACACATGTGGAAATGTCCCAGTAAAGTGTATTGAAATTATGAACTAGATATAAGCACTCAGTTTAAAGTACATGAACTATGATGATGTAATTGATAATTACCTAACCAATCAGACCTTCGCCACCAGCCAACCCTTTTCTGCTGTCCAGCCTCTTGCCTTCAACCGGCCCTTTTCTGCTGACTGACCTTTTTCTGCTGACTAACCCTTTACTCTGACCCACCCTTGTAAATGCGGCATTCCAAATATGGCAACCCGCTTCAGCAGTTCACTCGCAGTCCAGATGTAATATAGAAAGAAATATAACTAAAATACACATGGCACTCCAGTGCCCATATTTATACTCCTCAATAACATTCCAGGCTCTTCTATGATGCAAGTGCCTAGTAGCCTGTAGAATATTCCCGGTTTAGTCTAATCATGTGACTCGTATTCCAACATTCCTTCTCATAACTAGAGTGCTTGCGTTGCTTCGCAAAAACCCGCCCAGCATGTACACATTATTACAGAATCAAGAAAGGAATTTGTATTACAAAATGTAATTAAGGCTTCGAGACAGGCGAAACCGAAGCTGATTTGGATCATTTTATAGCCCAATGACAACGGACAGAGGAAATATTGCATCGGCAGCATGCAATTGAAATAACGAACAAACGAGTGGAGGATCTCGGGAGAAGGGGTGTGGGCAGCAACAGGCAAGGATATGCACAAGTTCGTGATGTGGTGGCAGGGGATTATGGGTGGGAGAAATGAAACGGTAGCCCCAAATGACTTGGGGATCAAGCTCGATGGAGCAGGTACGCGGAGATGTACCACCGAGTATTTAGGAAGCGCAGAAGGAACTGTGGAACCCATAGATGTGTCCAGTTTCCATGAGGGACAGCTGTGAGCATATAGTATCATTTGGCTGAAAAGAAGAGCCACGAATGATTTTGACAGGAGAAGGTGGCACTGGGAAATCACGAGTGATACATCCAGTGATGGAGTATTCCAAACACATAACGCTGCAGATATGTAAGATTGCAGTGGGAGCTTACACAGGGATAGCAGGGAGTTTTATTGGTGGTAAGACGCTGCATGTCCTTTTTGAAATAAGTGTGCAGGGAGTGAGGATGCCAAGTGGGCGGAAGATTGAGGAGTGTGGTAGCCAATGGAATATCTGATTATCGACGAGTTTTCGATGGTGTCACAAACGCTATTTGCATGAATGTCCACAATTCTGGGGCTAATCCATCAGCATAATAAGCAACAACAAAATCTTGGGGAGGGTTGGGTGTCATCATCTGTGGGGATTTCCATCAATTCAAAGCAGTAGGACAAGGTGGAGGCGCACCACTTTACTGCAGTAGTTTGCTTAACACAAGGTCGAAACGTCAAAGAGGATTGGCACTTGTCGTGGAACTGGCAGTTGATTGCAAAGTGATAATCATGACGAACATCAGCACCAACATGGATATCTGTCAGGGCACACCTGCCTGACCCGGCCCCACCTGGCCCCACTTCACCCGGTACCCCGCCACCCAGCCTTCCCCTACCTCCTCCCCCCTCTTCTTTCTTTCCTTCTTTCTCCATTCCACTCCCTCTTTACTTATTTCACCTTCTCTTTATTTTCTCTTTATTCTACACAGACGACCTTTCCTTGTATCAATGTACCATTGACCCACCCGCAGCGCGCTCACGACATGCCCAGCCTGGGTGCCTCGGGCGACCCCCACTATCTCCAGCTCGCGCGTTGAAGGAGAGAACAAAGGAAAGTCAGTTGGGAGGTTCAAACAAGACCGCCACCAAGCTGTTCCCTGGTTCTTTAGTTAGGATGGGGGAGTGTACTAGTGTTATTTATTGTAAATATAGTACCAATCCGAGTGTTTTGGCTAATTCTATTTTTATGGGTTAGTTTTAAAGTTCCTGGGAATTGACTTACAGATAAACCGAGCCCTGCGGAGCTGTTTCTTTATTGAAATTTATTAATTTGTCTAGGTGTAATTCTGTGTAGCGTTGTTTAATTTGGATTTAAACTTGAATTTAATCTTCTACTTGGTGAAGTTTCAAAGATTCTATTCAGTTAATGAATTTGGATGGTGTCTGGAGTGTCCCTTGAGTTCGTTTTATTTTTGTCTTATTTTATCGCTTGTTTTAACAGTAGCAAAATAACTGTTTTGTGTTTACACTTTGAAATCTGGAGTGTTAACCAGCTCTCCTGTTGAAATATCTACTTAATATTTCTCTCCTTAATTGCTGCCTTTTACTACAGTGGCAATCTTAACTGTATATCACTTTTTCGCACTGGAGTGACAACCAGAAATGCTTGAGAAAAATAATACTCTATTTTCTTACTTCTCTAAGGGGGGCGAAAAGTCGCAGAAAGGGTCTCCCTTTTATACTCCTTGGGTCGCCTTCCTTTTTCACGCTCTACCTTCTATTTACAGGATTTATTTACAGTGTATTTTTCTCAAACTGAATAAAAATGAAATTTTCATGCTATAGTTCTACTGCGCTTTTGCTGCGCTGAACTGCGGTTCTACTGCGGTCAGACTGCGCCTAGAATTCTTATTGTCCTCCCTCGCCTAAGCTATTTTAATGGTTAATTAGAACTTGGCTGCGCTGCATTTGCCGCAGTTACCTATTTCAAATTCTATATA